AGCGATCAACCTTGGGTGCCAGCTGGGAGATTGGCCCTTTTTTTTTCTCCTTCAAGAGCAATCCACCGGAAAAGAGAGGACCTTTTCCATGTGACTCGTGATGTCGAGTCCTCTCTACTCGAGAAAGATGTAGCGAGCCGTCATCCAGTGAGAAGTGTGAATTGGGGTGACTGGCAACCTAATCCCTGGCAAGACGAGGGTCCCAGAATGGAGACGAACGTCGAAGTATCCCACGGGACTGGCTACGACGCGTCTCCCCCCTCTGCTCGGTCAGCCGCCGACAGATGAAAGCCTGCGCCTACAGAGTGGGCGGGCGGCTCTTTGTACGTGGAACAGAATATCCGCAGTATAGGTCAACCTGAGCCTCAAAGTCGGATACCTCCATTTTCGTTCGTTCAAAGGTCCCTTGTTTTGGGAGAGAGAATGGACTCTATGGACGAGTTGCAAATTCTAGATCGGGCGCAGCTCCATAGTGGCTCTTACCGACGTAGGTAGGGGGGCCCATCGACTTTCAACGGATACTGAGCCCTCTGTACCTGTTTCCGACAAATGAAATGAAGGTCTCCATCCTGCCTTGCTTGCCTGCCCGCGCGCAACTGAATACCGCAATTGGGGGTCCGGCGGCGAGACCGAGGGACAAACTTGAGCTGACAAGTGCAAACAGAGAGAGAGAGAGAGAGAATGGACTCGAAGGGGAGGAGGAGGAGACACTACAGGCGGCCGCAGCGTTTCGTTGCCGCCGAGAAAAGGAGCCACAAAGAAGGCTGTGTTCAGTCACGGCGTGTTCAGAAGGGCAAAGACAGCGAAAGGAAAGCGTGTATCCTGAGCATGTTTTGGCGGCTAAGGCCGGAGCCGCGGGCAGCACAAAGGGCGGCGGCGGCTTTTTTTTCCTTGCTCGAAAGATGGTGGTTCAAACTGAAACCGGTGGTTGGCTGGTGATGGCCGCATCTAGAAAAGGGCACGAACGGGCAAACGCAGGCTGTAGCAGTGGCATGTCGCGCAAGCCGTGGCCGCGGCGGGATGGAAGGGGTGGTCTTCTACGTACTCCGTGGATTAGTAACCGCAGACGTACGAAGTATGGTTCAGAAACATCATGTTCTAGGTAGACTAGGGCAGCTCAAGTCGGTGGGCTTGGGTTTAATGATTGAAGACCCAGTCGTCGGTAAGGATATTGGTCTGATTCATCAGATTGGCTACATGTCAATTGTCAAATGAGAAGCACGGCCCGGCGATAATGATGTTCTATAGTGGGCTTGGAATGATGGAATGATCTGCAATCGACATTTGCCAGACTGACTCTCAACGAACCCACGGAAACCTACGATCCCGGCCGAGAGTCGGTCGGAATTTGCCTACACAAATTTGAGTGGAGGGTATTTTGGGTTTTCGTGAGGAATGTGGTATGTGGACTGGAAATGCTGACTGTACTATCCGGATAGCCACCCAGGCAAGGAACCCAGGAAGGACAGCACCACAAGGCACAAGCAGCACCAGAGTCTCGGTATTTCGTTGCAAGGGTGGAGGGGGAGCAAGGCAGGGAAAGACAAGCAAGAGAAAAAGCACAGGACGCCAGGGGGCTCTCGCCTCCAGAGATGAGCCAGCCCTCTGCGCCCAAAGTAGCAGCAGACAATTACTGGGAACAGCCGGGAGATGGTGGACCCAGGGCGAGATCTGACAGCCCAGAGACGAGGCCGCCGTCGAGGGCAGGACAGGACGACGGCGGCTGTTCGGTTACAGAGTTCAGACTCTTTTCTTCGGTATTTCAGCCTCAGCGAGGCATAGAGCAGAAGGACGGAAACTTCCATTGGATAGGGCAAGACAAGACAAGGGGCTCGGGAGTTCGCGCTGGCACTCGGGGTTGCTAAGAGGAAACATTGGTGGTGATTGGGCGTTGCGCACCGCAACTTTGCGCCCAGTCCTGGCGGCGTTGAGCTATATTCCTTTTTGACATGCCTGTCATTTTCCTTCTAGTCTTTGGATTACTCCGTACGGTAATAACGACTCCCCGTATTACTGGTACATATGGCTTGAGAGCCCGTGTCTGAGTGTTGGTAATAGTGTGTATGATCGCTGTGACCGTTTGTGTGTAAGTGTGTGCGTGTGATGTGTAGACATGTCACTGCATGTCACTAAGAAGCCAGCTTGATAGGTTGATTCGAAGTTCTCAGGTCAGCAAATTCAAACACATGGCGTTCTCTTCGTAGTGAAGTGGAACAACCAACGCAAACGGAGGAGGAGGAAGTGCAGAGAGGTATTTCGCTGAGCCTTCAGGCACAGAGGCACACACTAGAGACTGACAGTGAGCCGGAAATAAGCACCCATCAATGTAGGACGGAATCCCGCCGCCACTACGACGGCGCATTGCTATTGCTGCGTGTACGGAGTGTGTAGATGTTCCCCTGGCAGATCTTTTTCCTGTCTGGAGATTGAGACGCGGCACCAACGCCGGCACCAGCTTGACCAGGGACATGAGCTCCAAGCAGTGGCGAGAAATGACGGAACACTTTATATGTGCAGCAGGCCAGCATCTTTAGTGTTGAATAGCTTCTGATCGACAACTCTACTTTTGTGACTACAACTCTGAGTGAGGCAAGCAATTGCAACAGACATATATGTAGACAAACGGATATGGGATACACATTGGGCAGATCCATGAGACCATGAACCATGAACCCGAACCAGCAGTGGTGAAGTGAGCAAGAGGCAAAAAGGTTGAAATGAACTGAATCCAACAGGCCAGGTACGTACCGAGGCTGCACGGCAGGAGTGACCAAATTGGAACTCCCCGGCGTGCCATTGGTCCAAAATTGGCGCCGACCTCTAGACGACGGGCGACTACGAAGTACAAGGCGCATGCACGCGACTGGGACTGCGGACCTTTTTTTTTTCTTTCCTTCTTTCTCTATTCGTACTTTGCAAAGTTGGTCCTGGAGGGCGGGCTATTAATAGACCCCGGTCGTGTTTCGCAAAATACGCTCCAGTCACGACGAAGCCCCAGTGCCCCACTTCCTGGGGGGTGACCCAGGCACACACAGGGACCCAGGGGATCACTCGCACCAAGCCCCAAGCAAGAAGCCCCATTTATTCCGTCCTGGGAAGTGGTGTGGTTGGGCGGCTCCACCTACGCTGGGCGGCCACTCGCCAATCCTCTCTTTCCCTCTCACACACACAGCAGGTGCGCACCACACACACGCTCTCTCCTGCCGCCTTCTCAATCGCGGGGTGGACCATAGAAACTCGCACGAGGAGAAGGAGGAATTGGTCGAATTGGTGAATTGCAAGACCAAGCTGACAGAGATCTGACTCTGAGAGAGCGGAAAGAGAAGGACCCAGGGCCTAGAAGCCGGGTTTGGACCAGTCATTGCCGTTCCTCTGCATCTTGCAGCGCAGCAGCCAGCGGCAGCGGAACACCGGGTTCTTGCCTCTGCCCCTCCACCCTCTTTTGCCCATCAGCATCAGTCAGTCGAGACTCCAGACTCCCAACCAGACAGACGTGCTGATGTTCGGGTGCCTTCTGTGCTGCTTGTTCTCTGCATATTGCAGGTGTCAGGTCAGAGTCACCACATTTGTGTCCGTCCGTCCGTTCGTTGCTGCGTACCCACAACAGCGGAGTGCCGTGTTGACGATGACAGAGCGGGCAGTTCGATACAGACTACTACTCTGATAGCCTGTGGACAATATACTAGGCTTGGTCGCGCGATGGTGCCCACGGCTCTAAAACAACAGTAAATCAACCCAAGGACGGGCACCAGTCCAAGTCCTCGTCAATGGCGGCGGGCTAGTCCACGGCTCTCGCGTAGTGACCTCCGGCTACAGCCTACGCCCTCGCATACTGGAGCTAAGGGGGTAGCGCTTGCGCAGACGAGGCCGTAGACGAGGCCGCACTAACAATTCCCGATCTGACCCCTCCGCCAGCCAGCACTACCTACTTTGTTTTGTCGAGATGGGTTCCAGTTTGTGCCTGTATGTGTCCCGTGCCTTGCTCTCTCTCCTCCTCATCTTGCCTCGCTTTTGCAGCCTGCCTGGGCTGTCTTCACGTTCTAGGTATCCATACTCCGTACCCGTACGCGCGATGGGTTCTGGCCAGCATTCTGTGACAAAAGGTGCTGGCCGGTGACCAGACAGGGAATTCTGTCACTTGCATCGAGCTCTCTCGAGTCTCCAGTCTTGTCCGGTTCCTTGCTCTCTCCACTACCTTAGCACTGGGTACTCCGTACGGGTCCAGACTTGCCAGTTGTTGCTGGTGGTTCTTGTCCTCTCACCATCATAGTACGTCTACGTTGTATGTCGACTACTATGCCGGATACATTGGTGAGAAGGGAATGCGTAGGGTATCCGTAGTCACTTTGGAGAGATCCAGTGCTTGGTGTTCTATTCGTAGTAATTGCTACTTGATGTGATCCGTACTTTACCTTAACCTGAGGACATAAAAAGGCACAGGAAGGGCTCAGAGAAGGTACGTTCCTTGGTAATCCTTACCGGGCACCCAGACACTTTTGCCAGGTGAACCTCAGACAGAAGGCGACAGAGAGAGGGGGGACGAGGCATGGTAAGATAGGTACGTACCGAGGACCAGCCGCATAGGAAGTGGAAAGGCAAGTGCATTGTAAGGTTTCAATAGGTATCTCTTGCCGCATACTTCCCTTGTGTGATACCTTGGTCTCTACTGCACGGTACCTACTCCGAGGTATACCAGGGATAGGAAGGACCCCTGCCCTGGTCGCCCTTCGCCCTCAGCCAGCAACTTGATCCTGGGCTGGGGGGACCCTCCCACCACCCGTTGGCCTTCCTTGAGACCTTGACCAGCATCTCCAGGCCAAACCCAGCCCGTCCATGTTCGACGAGGGCAACTGACTGGGCGACAGACGGCCTGCCTTTCACTTTCCAGTCGCTTGGTTGTCGCTTGCGTGCAGGCCTTCCTTCACCTTCAGGTTCTCACTTCTGCCCTCTCTGCCACGACCCACACTCCCCCCCCCCCAAGGAGCAAGAGCAAGAGCCCCAAGGGCCCCAGTTCCTCTTTCCTTCCCCTTCCAGTTGTTGGCCCATCCCCAACTCTACCTTGCCTTAGGTACTCTCTCGAACCCTTCCCACGTCCGCCATTCACCTCAACTTTCAACCACTTCACGTCTCTCTTCCACCATTTTCCCTTCTTCCCACCCCAATCCCAAACCACCACACACACCCCCTCTTCTCTTATTCACTACCTCCCCTTATTCTCAATTCTACGGATACTCTGCCGCCTTTCAAACCAAGCAAATCCAGTCCAGCTGCAGTATCCTTCTTCCCTCAACCACCTTACCTTACACTCACCTTACGCATACCCGCCTGGCGATTTCCATGCATCCGTATTGACCGGACCGTGCCACATCTCTTTCCCACCAACAGCATGTGCTAACCCCGAGCCGCCGTTTTCGTCGTGACCACTAGCCATTGTTTTCTCTCTTCTCCATTTCTCTTCCATCACCAACCAAACTTACTACTCTTCTTCCCCTTCGTCTTCCTCTATCCTCCTTCCTACCTCACGAACCACCACGACGACGACCATTCTACTGCTCTTGCCCACTACCCACCAGGGCCCCCGCCGCATACGAACACTCGACTGACCTATTCCTGTCGCGAGACTGGTCACCTGCCCTGCGCACCCTGCGGCACCGCCCCGAGTACGAGGAGGAGTTCGAGAACAGAGAGACACTTCGGTCCTGCCGAGAGACTTGGACCACCACAACCACCCCGCCGACGACGAGGACACAAAGCCATTCACGGGATTCAGCAGCGCTGTCCTCCGATCTACAATCAATCGCCCGCCCGCTCGCCTGCCAACCGGCCTTTTCTTTCCATTCTACAAACATCAATCGCGACTCCCGCTCCTTCCACGCCAAACGCCGCAACCATTTCTTTAATCATTACGCCAACGTTGCCCCTCGCGGCCTACACAGTCTCGTCCCCCGAGACTGCCGCCAACACGTTTCCCTCGCGCAAGAGAAGAGAAAGAGAGAAGGGATTCGGGCAGCCCATTCAAAAGGTACACAGAACCATGCCGTCAGCAGCGGCAAGAAGGATCTACGAAGATCAAATCCCCTCCTTCATGTCAGTTTTCGACCTTGACGCAGAGACAATCGCCGCTCAAGAGACCGTCACTCTCGTCGACCCCAAATTGATCGATATGGAGACCACCGGAAAGCCTTTGGCCAACCCGGTCCAGTCCTTGCGACCAACCATGGACCACTCTCACAAGCACCACGATAGCACCTCAACTCAGGCGTCTGAGTCTGCCGAGTCTTCGCCCACAACGACGCTCTCAACAAGTGACTGCTCCCCGCTGTCGGACCCGTCCCCTTCATCATCACCCGATTCTCCTGTCAACTTGATACCCCTAAACTCTTTCCCGGCCACATCCTTTGGCGGCCTTGGTCCATTGTCTTCAATGAACACCATGTCCGCAGCAGAAACCACTAGCTTCGGCCGTCCGATGACGTCTCCTTCGCCGCGTCGCCCTAAGAACATGAAGGGACTGTCAATTCAGCCGCCTTTCATGGGAAATAGTGCCTCAACACTGGTTTCCGAGCCCGCATCGCCCTCTTTCATCAAGCCGACCATTCCAGCAATGAGGCGCAAGCCTAGTCAGCTCAGCCTCAAGACCCAAACGTCAGATCTGGTCATGCGAAACACCCTCGAGGTCCCTGGCACCCCTGGTATGGCGCCCATTTTGCAGAGACGAGCCCTCAAGCACTCGACTTCGTCGCCTCATATGCTGCCCTCGCTGAAGTCTGCGACTTTCGGCCCTCCGGGTGGAATGACATTCCCCAAGGTTTTGGAAAGAAACGAGTCGGGTCTCTCAGAATTTTTGAGGCCAACAAAGACTGGTATGGGCCAGTCTTTCGACACGACAATCGTTGAGGAGGATTCGCCCATTAGAACTCAGCTCGCGAGCCGCGCCGCCCTCGACTTCGAACCTTACCACGAGAACGAGAACAATGAGGACCAGAAGACGCCGGGTTATCCGGATGGACCCATCGCAATTTACGAAGACAATGTCTATCTGTACTTGGAGCCGACCGCCGACGAAGCCTCCAAATTCGACACCGTCATCAATGTTGCGCGGGAAGTTAAAAACCCCTTCAACTTCTTGCCCAAGTCAGACGAGGTCATGTCAGACTCTCCTGCCGTCCTCAGCCCCATTCCCGACACGGCTGTGTCAAACGCTAGCTTCTCTACCGCCTTCGAGTTCCCAACCAACGACAGACCGGAAACACCGACAACGCCCAAGGCCATGTCATTCTCTATCAAGCGCCCAGAGTACATCCACATGCCCTGGGACCACAACACGGATATTGCGCAGGACCTGATGCACCTCTGCGAGACCATTGAGACACGGACGAAGGAGGGCAAGAAGGTACTCGTCCATTGCCAGCAAGGCGCAAGTCGATCCGCCAGTCTCATTATCGCTTATGGCTTGTACCGCAACCCCGAGCTCAGCGTCAACGACGCTTACTACGCCGCCCAGGAGAAGAGCAAGTGGATCAGCCCCAACATGAAGCTCATGTACTGCTTGCAGGATTTCCAGAAGCAGATGTCGAAGAAGAAGACCTCGCCTGGATCAGCCTTCCGCCCGCGCACTGGACGAAGCCCTACCAAGCACCGCCTGACGCTCTCTGCAGATGCGGCCATTGACATTGCACCCAAAGAGCCTTTGACCGCTCCTCTGCCTGGAGAGAAGGAAGGGAGCTCTGGAAGTTCGAGCCCGAAGAAGGGCAGCCCTACCCGTGCCAGAGGCCATTCAACACCCGGCAGTCAGCCAATCTCACCTGGTCCGTCTTCAGCGCCATCAAGCTTCTCCTGGTCAGAAAAGGAGAACGACGATTCTGCCAAGTTTGGGAACTTTGATGTTGATCGCTTGATGCCTTTCAAGCCTACGCCGCCAGTTTCGGGCCTTGCACCACCATCATCATCATCGTTCTTTGCCAAGCCGCCGCCGTCGCCTGGCCCGCCCCCTTCTCCCGGATTTGGAGCTCATCTATTCGGCCCTGCCGCTGGCTTTGGATTTTCTAGTCTGAACCTTGGCCCATCACTGGAACGCGAAGAGGACGTTGCAGCCCCCAAGGATAGACACTTCATGGTTGGCGCAGTTCCCGACGACGCGGCTCTCCTGTCACCCCGGGCCGAGACGATGACGAAGAACCCGCTGCACGATTCTCATCACGGATTTCCAGGCATGCAGTTTGTCGAGGTTCCGCCAACTCCAAGCGAAGGTCTGTTCTCGCCTAGAGAAACAATGTTCCCCAGGGATCCTTTCTACCCCTTCGGACGCCCCACCCAGGTTGCCGACCCGCGCAGTCCGCCTACAAAAGGTGAAACGCCAATTGTGAGGTCTATTGATGAGCTGCTATGACCGCAGCCAGGACGGAACACACCGCCACTAGTCACTAGCACCAAACGCCCCGGGACCGAACTACCTCGGCGGTACTCGGCCGAACTTTGACTATTGTTGCTATTTTTTGCGACATGGAACTAGTCAAATACGCGTGCATTGCAACAATGCAGACCGTCGTTGTAATCGATACGAGGTTGACGGACACCGAGGCCTTGGACGATTTCCGAAACAAGTGCACGCCAAACAGACGAATATCTCGATCTGCATCAATCGATCAAAAGGCAGTTGCAGGAGTCGTATCGTCAATGGCAAAGGACCGAAAAGGAGGACAACAGTGGAACTCGCCGACCATTGTGTGGACGTGCATACTTCCCAATTCATACGAACACCAGCCAAGCTCAATGGTGCATCCACCTGGAGTTGGCATCTCTTTTGTCGTTTTCAAGCCTTTTTTTTTCAGAGCGCAGCGAGTGGCGAAACAACGGCTTTCGTCACGTAACCACTTTGCGGAAAAAGTACCCTACAACCATAAACCAAAATGTGTAATTTAGAATTGCGTTTTCACAACGCAAATATTGAAACGGAAAAGATGGGAGACACGTCTCTCATCGCTTGGACATGGATAGTCAAGGACCACCGGGGATCGGCCATCTTTCTTGCAATCGTTTATTGGCGTGCCCACTTTGGACGAGGGAGTTGGAAGGGGTTTTGGTACAGGCTTATATCTCATGAGGCACTTTCCCAACGGGGGCCGGCTCACTTGGAAAGAGAGTACGGCCGTGAGGAACACTCACAAAGACACCATGCTATTTTCTTGTGTTTGAGGCTTGGGTTTTCTTTTTTCTCTTTTCCTTTCAATGCGGTCCATCTACGGATGAGTCTACCGCAACGCATATGGAGTCCAAAGGAAAGCAGGAGAGGATGAGACGAGGATACCATAACTGCATGCATGGATGGGGGTGAAGTAGACGAAATGTAAAAAACGAAGAGCCATACTAAGTATGCATTACCAAGTGCTTTTGATTGTTTCTTTGTAAATGTGATACTATGCATAAGTGATTTACCAGCATAACAAGGTGTGTGGTAACAAGTCCATGTCCTGGTTATCTCTTTGTGGTACCGATAGTAGGACAATGGTCAAAGACAAGGCTCAGAGCGGTGTTGGCAATATGTCTGACTTTCATTCTCATCTCGCTATACAAAGCGTTGGGCTTGTCTGACGTTCAACACTCGTTGCAAAAGCTACCAATTGCCTACACATTGTCGGACTTCTATCCTCCCTCCAGCAGTCTCGGCGGAGTGTGTGAGAGAGTAAGACATCTTCTCGTCTTTGGGGAACTTTTTAGAGATGAGGAATTTTCCATGTAGGCCCGGAGGAGGTAGAAAAAAGATCTGTAGTCCAACACGCATGCCATGGCACAACACTCTGACTCCAGTCTACTACTTGCTGGTCCTGATAATTACCTACTTACTTACACTGTGGGCAGAGTGAGATGAGAATGTGGGGATATTTTACACCGAAAAAAAGGAGAATGTCGGATTGTTTGACTTCCCTCTTCCTAACCAACCCCTTCCCCCTGTTACACAGGACCTCGATAGTAAAGCTTCATGTTTTACTTTTTTGCGCGTGAGTCTGGATGATGATGCTGCTGACTCCCAGGGTTCGTAACGGGCGGGGTTGATATTCATGGGATTTGAGCAGAGTAGTTTTTTCGCCGAGAAGTCTCTGTCTGTCTAACCGGACTCTGTCCATTCGTGGCGTGCTCGACGTGAGACGACGTGAAACGACTGGCATAGGGCCATTCTTCAAGATTCACCTAGAGCGAGACCTTTACCATCTCACGTGGTCAAGCAACACACAGATATATAAACCCCCTTTTGCTGTAGTCAATTAGAATCTTCATTCATAAGGCGCTAGAGCCAGAGAGGCTGAGAACCGGACGATCGATGAGACCAAGAATCATCATTTTTCGGTCTCAAAAGAAGGACATATTGCATGAGTTAAAGATCAGCAAGATGGAAAAAAGTCTCAGATTTCAAGTGTATACTCTGTATATGTCTGTATCCTTATATGATTCTATACTAGGAAAAAAAAACACCAACCAAACGCCAGCCCCCGACTTTGAGGCTTTCCCTTTTTTCAAGTCTTTTGTACGATGTGCGTTGTTATTTACAGGCTTTGGATGGAGGGATGGGCAGTACTCTTATTCTTGTTTGCGCCCCCGCCTCGAGAAAGAAATAAGTGTGGCCTTTGTGTTGTGTACCACGGGGCTAACAGGGTTTTGGGATATCTCGAAGAGGATGAGAAATTGGTTCGATGAAGAAAGGGGGTTCAGATAGAAAATAGTCAACGTGAAGGAAGAAGAAGTTGCCGCCTTGCAGTCGAGAGCCCTCTTGAAGCAAGGGTGCCGAATACAAAGCTAAACAACCTTGGAAGAACATTCCCTTTTCCCCTTGCGTTTACTGCGTCTTCCCAGCAGCCGCCGCGCGCTTCGCAGCCTCCTTGGCCCTCTTCTCCTTGGTCGCAATCTGCGCCTCGGCGCCAATGGCGCTAAAAACGAGGGAGACGCCGGCCCACTGCATGCTCGTGAGGCTGTGGCCGAAGGCGAAGACGGAGAGGGCCATGGTGACCATCTTGCGGGTGACTGTGACGGTGACGAGGAGGACCGAGGAGAAGGTGGAGAGGGTGTAGACTAGAAAAGACCCGCAGTGTTAGTAGGGCTGCTGTTTCTCGGGTATCACGAGGAAAATGGAACAACACATACAGATAAAGACCTGGCCGACTGCGCCGCACGCCGCGAAGCCGAGGACATCCCACCACACGGCGGGGTACCGCGCCATGAAACCCAGCGCGGCCGTCAGCTCGCCTGCGCTGCCGGCGACGTCCATGCCGAGATACTCGCCGAGACCGGTGTGGACGAGCCAGGGGCTGAGCACGAGGTAGCCCAGCGTGACGGCCGTGCTCATGAGGTTGTTGGCGCACATCATCTGCGGGCCGGTGTACCCCTTGAAGGTGCTAAAGATGTAGTCCTGGGTGCTGTTGGTGAGGCCGTCAAACAGCAGGTTGATGCTGAGGAGAAGCATGCCCCAGGGCATGTTGGCGTCCGGGTTGACGACGGACTTCTTCTTCTTGCTGCCCGAGTGCAAGGTAAAGACGGCGACGCCGGCCGTGACGCCCGCGACGACGAGGTACTTGTACAGCGGGTAGCGCTTGCCAAAGAGCGTCGTGTGGAGGAGCATGACGGGCACAAGCTTGCAGGACTTTGCGAGCAAAAAGGTGATGTAGTCAATGTGCGCCAGGGAGGCATAGCCAAAGGGCGAGGCGAGGGAGGAGGTGACGGCGACGAGGGCGAGAGGCATGACGATGCCGCGCGAGGGGAAGACGGGCGGAAGGGAGGCGGCGTTGCGGGAGGAGAACCACAGGTAGAGGAGGCCCGTCGTCGCGGCGAAGAGGGACTGGATTGTGTTGAGGAAGACGGGGTACTTGAAGACTTCGGGCTTGGACGTTGGGCCGTAGGGCGTCGTCGTGAGCTTCTCTTGGAGGTAGGCCCACGTCAGACTGCGCGAGATATATTGTCAGCAATGCGCCGGGCGAAGAGGTATTCGGAGAGGGCACGGGATTAGGGGAGTCAAAAAAGGGCCCAGGACGTACAAGGAGGCGTAGATACCGCCGACAGCAATCAGGATTTGGAGGGCGCCGGCCTCCTTTGCCTCAACAACCGCCGACGCAGGTGTAGCGACAACCTTGCCGTTGGCCTCCTTCGTAGCCACAGAAGTCGCGGCGCCATTGCTGTTGCTGGGCGTCCGCTTGAGTGTGTCCGCTTTGCTGAAGTATTCGGACGATGTCTGTCGACGGATAGGGGTGGCCTGCTTCGAGCGCGCCATTGCGTCTCTATGTTTCTTTCTCTTGTGAATCGATTGGTGTGTCGTGTTGCAAAAGACTGGTGTCGAAAGACGGGGAAAGAAAGCTCGAGTATGGATGCGCGACTCAATGCCCGTTGATCGTGGACTGTGGGCGCGCGCAGCTAAAGGGGTGGAGAAACGAAACGCTGCAAGGGAGCAACAACGACTGGGTACAAGGCTTCTAACAATGCAAGCTTGAAAGGAAAAAGATATTTGTTGAAGAGAACGAAAGTGCTGCGATACCTCGAGCTTAAGCAGCAGCAAGATAGACACCCGAGATGGAGATGTGGACACGGAGACAAGCGAATGCAGACAGTAAACGTCAAAGGAGCAGCTGGGCAAATGACAGGTTGGCTTCATCCCAAAATAAAAATAAGGTGGACAGCTTACCCGTTGCATCTTACCCCCCCAGGTGCCCCCCGAACCACACAACCCACGCACACCACGCTGCACCCTTTCCGCCCAAGCCTCTTCAGGGTCCCTCCCCTCCACTGCTTGCTTGCCGCCACCCTAACCTTATCAGGAATCAGCCCAGCCCGGTGTCTCCTCTCCGGATCGGCATTGCAAACACTTATCCCCAAAACCCCGCTTGACATTGGCCAATCACATCATGATCGCAAATTCATCCTGGAAGCAATTCGACACCTTCCAACCGTCCTTCTCAGCCTATGCTTACTTGTAGAGCGATGGTCTTTGGGAAATGACCAGCTACGTTTGTGGGTACCCCATATGATAGAGACAAGAACGCCATGGATTCTGTCGCTTCGCCTATGCCATTTCCAGTGATTGGACATGAGAGGAGTGAATGCCATCATCTCCAGTAGACCATCCTTCCGACTACGTTCACGACAGGTTTTCAAGACGCATCAATGACAACGAGACAAGAATTTTATGAGCGGCCTTGCTCAAACGTGTTAATTCGCCTAGCTATGGGTCGGATGTACTATCTAGAATCCCCCTGGCATCGGAAGTCAATACCAAGAGCGTAAAGAGTTCCATAGCCCAAAAAGCGGCTGCAAAACACAGGCCACTGAGGATATTACTATCTAGAATCCCCCTGGCATCGGAAGTCAATACCAAGAGCGTAAAGAGTTCCATAGCCCAAAAAGCGGCTGCAAAACACAGGCCACTGAGGATATCTTCGGTCCAGTGAGAAATCGTGGCGGGTTGGGGATGGGTAAACAGGGTCGGGTGTAGAGTTGCTGGCCGATTTTCATTACTAATGTTTTTGAAGCAAGCAACTCTGCTTCAAAGAGGTATCCGCATGAGGTAATCATAAGTCGTGCCGTATGTTCGGTTTGGAAAGGCTGAATACAATCCCTGTCCGTAGACCTAGGGACCTCTGATGCCTGCCCAAACGTAGACCGGAGGACCATCCTCCCAAAAAGCAACTCGAAGCGTTCGTGAAAACGGAAAGTGAAAGTTGTCGTGGTCCCATCCCGGCGACCATACTTGTGCGCGTCTGGGGATCCTTGGCCCAGATATTTGAAAGTCAAAAGAAAACAAAGCAACTGAGAAAAGCGTTTTGTCGCGTCCCAGAGATGATGTGCTGAAGTAAGACACTCCTCATCTCAAATATTGAGCCTTGCGGCCATTGTCTGCAAGTACCGGCTCCTGAGGCCGGATGACGAACTGAAAAGGGACGATTCTGAAAACGCTTTTTTTACTCGGGAGAGTTGGCCGTCTGGCGGCGCATCTTCTCCGCCTCAAGGTTCTCGTAGAGCAGGAAAAGGGCAGACTCGTTAGCCTTGGCGGTACCCATGATGGTGAACATGCGTTCGCCGCTCTCGTCGTGGGGAGCCTGGACAGATTAGTTATCTTGAGCATGGAGTTTTGTGATCAAGAGGTGTCATACCTTTGCGATAGAGATGCGGGCACCAGAGGTCTTGCGAATCTCGGAGATCTTGCTTCCAGCGCGGCCAATGATGCAACCGACCATATCAGCAGGGATGCTGATGTTCTGAGTCTGGAGCTCCTCGCCATTCTCGTCGTGGGTGGGAGGGCCTCGGGAAGCAGCATCAGAATCGGAACGACGGCCGTAAGGACGACCACCACTGCCACCACTGCCGCCGTTGTTGGTAGTAGTGCTGAAGTCGGCACCGTTTCCAGTGCGCATGACGCGGGGGGCAGAGTACTCCGAGGCGCGACCGCCACCGGAAGAGTAGCTGTTTGAAGTGCCGCTGATGGTGGAGGTTGTGCCCGGCTGAGTGCGAACGACCGGGTTGTAGAGGACGGTACCAGTGCCTCTCTGCCAATCGTCGACGAGACACTTGCAGATTTCCCAAATCGCACCCTTGATGCCCTCGGGCGTGCCTTGGACCTCAACGATGCGCTCAGTGGACTGGGGCAGCATCTCCTTCTGGGCGACCATGCGAACGCCCGACACATCCTGGATGTGCTTAATCTTGAGACCTTGGCGACCGATGATGGTACCCATCTGGTTGTGGGAAATCAAGAGCTTGATGGCTGAGATTGCAATGTCAGCGATTTCTTCCTTGCGCACCACATGAGGTAGACTTACGATGGGTGCCAGTGTTGGAGACAACACCTCCCATGCCCATGGCGGGAGCGCCCTCGAGGAGAGCGCGCGCGACAATCGCATAGGCCTCAGAAATGGCCTGGCAGCCACCGGTGATGGTGAGAACACGATCGTGAACGCCCTGGACGACCTTGCTGACACCGGCCTTGACGCCAGTCTCGTCGCGAAGCTCGGCGACATTCTTGCCAGCCTTTCCAATAATGACACCGGCCTCCTTGGAGGAAACGATGGCTCTCAAAGTGAGCTGAGAGCCGGCGTACTCCTCGTCGGTGCGGGGCGCGGGCTCTCCGTCAGGGCCAAGACGGGTCTCGCCATCATCAAGCTTCAACTGGTCGAGGGAGCCGACGAGGTCGTTGCCGTTGGCAGCAATGTTATCCTGAGTAGCGGACATTTTGAGCGATTCGAAAAGTGCTGGGGCAATTGATTCGAAAAGGGATTCTAAACAAAAAAGCGCAATTAGTACAATAATCCAACAAATAACCCAAAAATGGGTGGAAAAGGAAGTGGTGTAGTGGAAGGAAAGAGTGAGAGGCAAGGGAGAGTAAGAGTCCAGATTTTGTAGAAGTTGTGGTTTTCCAGATAGTCCCACGCAAGTACGACACTTCCCCACCCGAGGACGCGTGAAGGTGAACAGGTGAATCGACACTATCTCCCAAACCGTGGCCGTGGCACGTAATTTTGGTAGTCGGGATTTTTTTTACCATATAGAGCGTGACGATTTTCAGGGTCAGCTATGCCTGACCATAACCCGTCCTGATGTGGTGGACGGATTGACGCCAGGAGCTCTTGCACGTTCAAAGTGGGGGTAATGATGGCGCGGGGTGGTAGTTTTGTGTGCTGTAACTTACTGTAGTATTTTCCTGAACTTTTAATCAGGAAGGTACTGGCTGCAAGTGAATGCGCTGACGTAGAAGCGTGAAACTTGTAGAAATTCAGCTGTCAAGCAATAAAGCAGGACGTTAGCGAATTGAAGCCGTAAAGCGGAAGCTTCGGTTTGTAGAGGTTGGTATGTTGGAGTGCGTTGGTGCAGCTCGTTTGCGGTGACGGATGTGTAGTTGCGTAGTGGGTGGCGGGGAGGATGAGGTGGTGGATTGAAGTGGGTGGTGGATCGGGAAAGTTGAGAGATGGAGGGGTAGAGGAGTAGATGGGAGAGAGGTAGAGGCGCTCGGGTGTGGGCGAGAGGTTGAGAGTGGGAGTGGAAGAGTTGAAGAGGCGGTCGTGAGAGGATTTGTTTTGGAAGAGTTGGTGAGGTGAAGAGGTGGAAGAGGTGAAGAGTTGGGGGCCGGGAGAGAGAAGTGAGGTCGGTCGTGGAGAAGTGAGGTGAAGGAAAAGAAGAGTGGGAGTGGAAAATGGGAGGAGAAAAAGTCGGTAGGTAAATGTGAGTGTGTGAGAGCGATGGGAGGGAAGGTGCGCCTCAGTATTTTTTTTCAAACTCCTTCTTTTCTGGATGGGCTGGGAAAAGCAAAGGTAGAAGGTACTTACGATAATGTGAGTTGGAGTAGCAAGACAGGTGTACCCGGTCTGGCTATTGAAGGTGTCTGGTGCTGGTGGTTGTGTAAGGTACCTGGGCTGTGGTCGGGTGTAATGGAAGCTGTGGTGCAAGAGGTACCTTGCTGATACTTGAGTGGAAGTCGGTGGTCCAGAATAGGTCGCGTAAGGGAAGGTAAGGTACCTAGGTAGGTGTGCTGGGGAAAGAATTGGGGGAGCTCGTCGCTGGAAGATGGAAGGGACTGATCTGTGAGGGGCTTGAGTGGGCAGGAAGACCGGGTAGGTACGACAGTGAATAGAGGAAAGCGCATCCAGACCTCAACGCTGACTACCCGTGGCCCCACCCTGCAACAATTGATCACGTGTACCTCATCGGCGGAAGTTGGCCGTAGCAATACATGTCGCAACGCTAGGGCCATCGTCACAGCAAGTATCCTGTCCCTCCTGCACATGCTTCCCGAGTGGTATCTTGCCTGTACATCTTGAGGTATGGAAGGTGAGGTAGGTAGGTACTTCACCTTGGACGGGACCCCTCCACGCCACATGGAGCTTACCTAGCACTTGGGCTCCTTCCTTTCGAGGGGCACTCACTCATGGAACCTTCAAGTTTCCGTCCGGGCGGGCTTCAAGAAGCTGGAAACACCCACCCACCTCCACTTCATTGCCATTTCCCGTCTTCCCTGGTACCTACTCACGGATGCGACTTTGGACATGCGGCAAGATCAGGTGTGAGGTAACGACGGAAGATGGAGCAGACGAGACACCAAGCAACCAACTGCCTCGCATCCAAGCTCTGTCCTCTCCAAAACCCCTCGACTGTCTCAATCTTTCGCCTAGGTATCGGCCGCCGTCACAGGCACGCCATACTCACAAGGACGGCGATGCCCCCTTCAGCAAAGGGCCTCAATAAACCTATCCATCTATCTCTTCATCTGTCTCTCACACCACTTACACCTCATCAATGGTGGGGTGCAAACTTTGGCTCGGGGCCCTCGTTCAGGCGGCCTCTTGAAGTACATGTCAGTAGTACTCTCACGCAGTATTGTAGTTCTCCCTCGGACTGATCCCCGCCAGGGCACACGACAGGGAAGAAGCATTCCCGACCGTCTCGAATCGTCTTCCATTCCAGGGTTGAATCTTTCAACGTAATGCGCATTGCTAGCCTACCTGGGATCTGGTGCCAGTGGTGCCTGACCCAGCCGCATCGGACCTTTCGCTGGCGAGCTTTCAGATCGAACAAGTGTCCAATCCAACTTGGCATATGTTGCCCAACTTGCGACACGCGACATGCGACCAAACGGCTCTTGTGGTCGTCATCCGTCTCACTCGGATCGCAATCGCAGTCTGCACCTCAGTGACAGATAA